TGCTCCCGGCCCACGCCGTTCCGCTCACGGCCCCCAGTGCTGTACATTATATTCTGCATGTGCAGGTCGGGTCGCACACAATGTCCCAGCCTGCATGTGCTAGCATCTGGTTGCTGAGCACAGGCAGTGGCTCTGACGGCAGCAGGACCTGGGCATAAAGTTAGTGAGGGAGAGGGATTGGGTTAGAGTGGGGAGGGGAGGTGTCTGGCTCTGGGGAAGGGGAGGAGAGTTGGGGGGGGGGAGCTGCACACAGCATGCCAGCTGCTCAGCATATGCCCACCAGTGCCTGGAGGGAGACGCGTGGCTGTAGTAGCAGTGGTGTCTCCAGAATCCGAGAATTGGTGGGGGGAGGGATTGGTATAGAAGGGGGCCAGTGCCTGGTTTGCGGGGGCGGAGGGGATTGGGTTGGGGGAGGTGTGCCTGGCTCTGGGGAAGGAGTGGGATTGGGTTAGAGGGCGTGCGTTCCTGGCTGTGGGGAAGGGGAGGAGGATTGGGTTAGAGCGGTGGGGGGGAGGGAGAGGGAATTCCTGGGGGAGCGGAGAGGAAGAGCAGCTGGCATGCTTCCTGAAACCCGGGATCCCCAGGTACTGGCCCCAGCTGTGTCTGTCCCTCCTCCTGGCCAGACCCTCCCCCCCACAAATACCCTGCCCCACCACCCTGTCCCCACCAGCACAGTTGGGACCACATTAGTGAGGCTTGGGTGGGGAGGGTTGGAGCAGGGGTTTTTTTGCATCTCACTGGTGTGGCCCCAACTGACTTTTCTGTTGGTCAGTGACTCCTGACTCAAAACAGGTTCCCCGCACCTCTCGTAAATAAGGAAAACGCTGAAACATTTAGGATATGTCTAGACTACATGGCTCTGTCGATGGAGCCATGTAGATTTGTTTACTAGGCATAGGGAAATCAAGAGGCGATTTAAATAATCACCGCTTCATTTAAATTTAAATGGCTGCTGTGCTGTGCCGATCAGCTGTTTGTCGGCTCAGTGCGCTAGTCTGGATGCTCCGTGGTCAACATCAAAGGCATTTGTCGACCTCCCCGGTAAACCTAATCCCGCAAGGCATAACAGGGAGGTCGACAAATGCCTTTGATGTCGACCGTGGAGCGTCCAGACTAGCGCGCTGAACTGACAAACAGCTGATCGGCTCAGCGCAGCAGCCATTTTAATTTAAATGAAGCGGTGATTATTAAAATTGCCGCTTCATTTGGGTATGTCTAATAAACTAATCTACATGGCTCTGGCAACAGAGCCATGTAGTCTAGACATACCCTTAGATTTTCCCTACTGTTTGACATAATATTTTATTTAAAAATTAATCTTGGCCAGCAAGTCCACAGTTGGGGCCAAGCACCCATCTGGCTGCAGCATCATAACACTACTGCACCCCACACCTCTGACCTCAAACCTGAGCCTGTCATACACTGGAACCCCCTGTCCTGAGCCTCTCACATCCCCAAACTCCTGCACCCCCACATCTCCAGTCTGCCACAACACTGCTGCACCATCCACACACTGCAAATGTGTGTCCTGAGCCCATCATAGTCGCAGTCTCCCTGAACCCCTCATGTACTCCAGCCCAAACTCGTGCACCCTCACAGCCACAAGCCTGTGGCTTTCTCACCACCCCCACCCTCCACCCCCCCCCTGACTCCAGCCCACTCCAGCCTGGAGCCCCCTCCCTGAGACAGCATCCTCTTCTCTATTTCCTCCTGCACCCAAAATTCCTCCCAGAGCTTGCACCTCTCACCCCTTCCCAGTGCTTTTTTTGTGAGCCATAATAGCAGTGGAGACAGTATGAAGAGCTGGGGCAAACTTGAGTCCTCCCCCCTCCTCCTTCCCCCCAAAAAAGGGGCAGGGCCGTGAAGACCCAGGGAAAAGTTTGCTCAACAACTTTGCTCCGCTCATCATGCTGTCTCCACTGCTACTGTGGCTATTTGTCTGGAGCCGGTTGGCCACCCCTGCTCTAAAAACTCCAGGAACCAGCCGTGCTGCAGTTCTGCATTTTAAATGTAGTAAGGGCCACTAGGCTCTTTATTTAAAATGCAGAGGCACAGTGTACTGGACCAGCACAAGCCGGGATTGCTTGGTCCCGGCTCACACGTAGTTCAGCAGCCCCTATTCGTGGTGGGGCTATTTGTCTGGAGCCGGTTGGCCACCCCTGCTCTAAAAACTCCAGGAACCAGCCGTGCTGCAGTTCTGCATTTTAAATGTAGTAAGGGCCACTAGGCTCTTTATTTAAAATGCAGAGGCACAGTGTACTGGACCAGCACAAGCCGGGATTGCTTGGTCCCGGCTCACACGTAGTTCAGCAGCCCCTATTCGTGGTGGACGTCTGCCCCGGCCCCAGTCCCTGCCCACAGCCAGCCTCGGCTTCTATGAACAGGGACTGGTGCCGGAGCAGCTCTTACCCGCGGCCAGCCCAGGCCACCACAAACAGGGGTTCCCTTATCTAATTAGAGGCAGTGGTGCAAAGGGCAGGCAGCACCCTGGAGGTGGTCCTGGGGGGAAACCTGCCTTTAAGCCAACCTCCCTCTTTTCCCCGCACCAGCTCCTGCTCCCCCACCCGTTGCTGCATCTCTCTCATAGAGCCAGCAAGGGAGGGAAGCGACTGGTTGAGTCACTACTCGACTGTCTGTTAAGTCTATGCTTATCAGATAGTCAACTAGTCACTTACATCCCTAATCTAGATGTGACAATATTCCAGGTCAGTAAAGACACATGTAAGCGTGGAATACATAGCTGTAAGTGCCAGCTTAGTAACTGGACATGTCACTTGAACATCTTTTGTAATTTCAGTGCCCAAGAGCTTTTTTTTTTTTAAGAACTTAATGATTGTGGGCTCTATCCATATCTTGCTTTCAGTGGACATTCATTCGTAGTCCCACTGAAAAGCTCATATTTTTGCTTCACCGGTACGTTAGCTTTTTAATTTTTTTTTCTATCTCACCCCAACCTAATTATTTGGAACTTCATTCCTCATTAGAGATCACTTTCAAAATACCTGGAGGAATTCTTTAAATGTTTGGGATCTGTGAATTGGGTGGGAGAGAGATTAATAGCTGATATAATGTAGGGAGCTGGCTTTTGGGGGGGGGGCAGAAGGGGAGGGAGGGAGTTGTTGGTTTGGTTTTTGTTGTTGTTGTTTGCTGAATTCCTTTTTGCCCCAAAATCAGGGGCACAGTCAGACCTAAGAGAACTCAAGTTTGCTCTGTAAGATCACAGTTCAGTTGCAAACCAAGCTGTTGCTGACAAAGGAGCTACCACCTCAGTGCTGTTTAGTAATCTATATAATTCTGCTTTGGTCTCAGTCCAGAAAGTAGTGCCCTCGAGAAAGGCATTGTGACAGTTAACCCCAGGTGGCATTGCTTTGTTAGCAGCCTTGCCAGAGTTCAGGGATTAAAGTAATTGTAGAGATACCCTCTTTGAAAGCTGATTGGATAGAGTGATACAGTGATGCTTGGGGATAGGACAGAGGGGCTGAGAATATGGGGTGGAAATGTGTCTGAAAGGGGGAGTTATGCTGGGTTATGAGAGTTCAGAGAGCTGATGTCTTTTGCTGCTATAAAAATAAACCTGAAAGTTTCTGTAGTTAGTTCCTGCTAGTAGCTGTGTGAAGGCACAACCTTTATTTTGTTGTTGTTTGTTTGCTGCTGGTATTATCTCCATTACTGCTAATCCAGTTACTTATGCAGGAGACTTAAAGCTAGCATCTGTACAGGCTGCTCTACACTGAAAACTTGCATTACCATAGCTACATCTCTGAGGTGGGGGGTGAAAAATCCACACCCATGAAAGATGTGCCTATGCCAACCTTGCCCCAATGTGGACAGCACTGGGTCCATGAAAGAATTATTCGGTCAACCTAGCTGCCACCTCTTATGGAGTTTGGTTACTTTTGTAGATGAGAGAACACCTCCTATCAACGTAGGTAGGGTCTATGCTGAAAAGCTGCAGCAGTGCTGTAGTGTTTCAAGTGTAGACCAGCCCCAGCTGTTGTTTCTCAGGGTGGTGAATTAACTGTAGCTGTGGGAGAACCTCTCCCCACCATAGTGGGTCCACACTGAAGGGCTGTAGTTGTGCTGTTGCTGTAGTGTTTAAGTGCAGACATACCGCTAGTCTCCACACACCCTAGAAGTGGGGAGAATTGGTTTACCGCTGTCCTTGGGAATACCTCTCTTCCTTTTGGCCCTCTTTTTCAAAAGACACAAAGCAGGCTCCTGATCAGTCTTCATGTTCCAAAATCCAACTGTACTTGCATTATAGCACATTATATATTTATATCCACTTCCAAATACATTCCCTCTTGCAGACTATCAGAGTGTTAGCCCCTAAATGCTCTGTTGAAAATGAGCATTTTTTCAACATCTCCTTGTAACTTTTGTTTTTACTAACCAACTACTTTAACAAGCCCCCAGCTGTATTTATTGATGGTGGAGCATTGCCCTAGCACTCAGCAGGGTCATGCACTGTTGAGAGAGCGCTGTCAGTTTA